TTCTATAGTTCCATAGTTCTACTTGGAACTTGTTCCGAGTAGTTGAATCTATAACAACAGGTGGTGGTATGGGAGTGGGTTCGTCAGCATTGAAGAGTCCTCGATACTCTATGCCATGTTCCCAACACCTTGACCCTATGGCCGTCATTCACTTTCCTAGTTAAGACCTCAAACATGCCCGCATGCTGAGAGATGGATGAGGCTCTCCTCAATTCCCACTCTCCCCTATCCCCCCCCCCACCCCCTCAATCGAGACCCTATAGGATAGGTGAGGGGAAACGGGGAGGAGGAGAGATGACAGACAGACAGGGGCGATCAAATTCGACCGGGAGACATCTCCCGTCACGCAGGGTGCAGTCGCACCTCCACAGGTCTCCAGTATCAGCTCTTGATACTGGTAATGGCTCAAAAGGGCCACCACTTACGGGCTATTCATGCCCGTGACACCTTTTGGGTGGCTTAATCTTTATCAATCAATCAATCAATCAATCGGCGATCAAATTCATTACGTGTACCTAAGAGGGACGGGAGGGAGAATCGCCTCGTTCCGTTGCGGCGGCCTACATTCACTGGAAATTTACACCAAACTAACATCGCCATGGCGTTAGGTGTCCAAAAGTTGGACAGTTTTTGGTATTTAGGCCAAGATTAGGCAGGGAAACATAATTGTGTCCGTGCGTGCGCTCGTGCATTCGTGTACGTCACCCGGCTGTAGCCTCGCCATCGTGACGCGCACGCATCAACACTAAACAAAAAAAAACACGCACACACAAGACAAACTACCTACACAAAACTCTGCTCTACACAGCAAACACATAAAATACACCACAGAACACAGAGTTTATCCCCGCCACGATACATGAATCTGTTTACACGTACGACTACCCCACACGCATGATACGACGCAATTCACAAAGGCCAAAAAAAAAAAAAAACACGAAACTACGCGGGCGACATTAACACAGACGACGCAACTTACACACCGTCCAATCAATACGCAAGGCAGGTAAACTGGTAGAGTAAAGGTGGAGGTGTGGAGTGGAGGCGAGAGGGAGGGAGATGCGGACGTTTAAGGAAAGGTGGAGGGATGGGGGGTTGTGGAGGTAGGGGAGATGGGATTCGAAGGTGGATGTGGGGAATGGGATGGGGGGGGGGGTGAAGGGGTAACCCACGTGAGTAGATATTGTTAACAGCCAATCTTACACCTTCCGCAAACTACCTCCTACTCGGGGTTAATTAATTGTATGCATGAATCTCACAAGTGTGTATGTTACCCTTGTGCCTTCTTTTACAAACTTCGAGGTAAACTCCGAGGTAAACTCCGGTGCTGGAGCCCCCCCCCCCGAAGGGCAGTTCGTTGTTGCCTTCAACCTCGTTCTGACAGTTCCTGCGACGGCGCTGGAATCAGTCGTATTGGCGTTTGTCTATCCATTGGAGACTTTCGGCGCCGTGGAGAAGGGGGTGGGGTGGCACCTGCTGCATGGGTGACAGCTTCTCCCCCGTATCAACCTACCGTGGCTTTGCGCCCTGGAGAGGCCACTCCAGACCGACAACCAGAGCGCATCTCCATAGTCTCCTGAGACTGGTGGAGGCCTGCTATATGTTAATACACGGGGCAACCCCCACGCCCCATAGCAAGATTGTTACATGGTAACCGTATTGCACTGTCAAGATGCAATAATGTTAGATGCACTGTTACATCTAACCAATAATAGATAGCGTACTAGCGTATCTAATAATAGATAGTGTATCTAACACACACAGACGTGTGTGTGAGGGCCTGTGAGGAATATGTAGTAGGATATGAACGAAGAAAAATAGGTCTGGGAGTCAGTACATTACGGTACCGACGGTTACAAAGGCGGGGTCCAAGAGCTAACAGCTCGATTCTGCAGGCACAAATAGTAAATAAACACACACAGGGTGGGTTGGGGTGGTGTTGGATAATTGTAGTCAATTTCGTTTGTTCAAGTACGTTTATTGAGACAATACATCTCAAAGGGATAGAGTAGCTTAGGCTATTTCTACACCCTCCCCCCCCCCCCCACTTGTTGTGTAAAGTCATCGTAGGTGTATGAGACGTGGGGAATCCCCCCTAACACCCCATCTCCTTCCAGCTGGCCACGTCAGAGACCAGACGGTGTGACCCCAGTACACCCACCACACTACCTAGGGCCTGCCAGTACACCCTCCCTCATATGCAGGCGATGAGTCACAATAACGTGGCTAAAGTATGTTGACCAGACCACACACTAGAAGGTGAAGGGACGATTGAAGAGACAATCGACTTGAGAATGGTCCAGGACGGACCGAAACGTCGTCGTCCCTTCACCTTCTAGTGTGTGGTCTGGTCAACATCCTCCCTCCCCTTCCAATACCCCAGAACACCCACCACACTACCTAGGGCCTTCCAGTACACCCACCACACTACCTAGGGCCTTCCAGAACACCCACCACACTACCTAGGGCCTTCCAGTACACTCACCACACTACCTAGGGCCTTCCAGTACACCCACCCCCCTCTCCCACACTCCAGTACACTTCAAAAACAGTCACAGGGTATGTCCTCCAGCCCCTCCCCCTCTCCCTCCATTAAACAAACCCAGCCTAGCCTAATCTAATGAGTTCTAATCTGATTTAATAATGTCAATGTTAGTTTGTGCGTGTATATATATATACTGTGAGGTGTGTGACTTCACTGACTTCATCTGCTTGCCTTCTGTTGCTTCCTGGCTTTGAACGTAACATAAGAACAAAGGTAACTGCAGAAGGCCTATTGGCCCATACGAGGCAGCTCCTATTTACATAAGAACAAAGGTAACTGCAGGAGGCCTATTGGCCCATACGAGGCAGCTCCTATTTACATAAGAACAAAGGTAACTGCAGGAGGCCTATTGGCCCATACGAGGCAGCTCCTATTTATAACCACCCAATCCCACTCATATACATGAATTCCTCGTACAGTCCACCTCCACAGATCTCCAGTATCAGCTAATGATACTGGTAATAGCTCCAAAGGGCCACCACCACTTACGGGCTATTCATGCCCGTGCCACCTTTTGGGTGGCTTAATCTTCATCATCAATCTCATATACATGTCCAACCCACAAACCAACACCAAAAACCCAAAATAAAACACCAAAAAAAACTTTTTTAAAACTTACACAAAATAAAAAATCTAATTATATTAGTCCAACCGAAAAATTATATATAAAAAAATTAAACCATGGGACTGTTAACAGTAGCTATTATCAGTTTTCCGTTAGGGTTATCGTCGCAGGCCGTTCCCACTATCGTTCCCAACGTCAGGAAACTGTCGTACCAAGAGGAGGAACCTACCAGAGAACTCAAAACAGAAAACGGTAAAGTTTGCAGGCGATGAGTCACAATAACGTGGCTGAAGTACACGGTAAAGTTTGTCAATTTCGCGAGCCGCGACTATTTTCTGGTACGACCGTTGTCGGCCTTGGGTAAAGCACATACGTCAAAATGCGTCATGGCGTCAGGAGGGCGAGGTATGATTGATCGGCGACGTCGGGGTCGTGTTAGACACTTCAAACCATGCAGTTAATACCTTTGAAACCCCCCCCGACACGTTCCTAACACGTCAAACCATGCAGTTAATACCTTTGAACCCCCCCCCCCCCGACACGTTCCTAACACGTCAAACCATGCAGTTAATACCTTTGAAACCCCCGACACGTTCCTAACACATCAAACCATGCAGTTAATACCTTTGAAACCACCCCGACACGTTCCTAACACGTCAAACCATGCAGTTAATACCTTTGAAACCACCCCGACACGTTCCTAACACGTCATGGGCAAGTCAATCGCAAATCGGCATATATGCTAGCTAGGTTTAGAAGGCAGGCTGCTACAGGCAAGTGTCTAGGCTAGAGGCAAACAAAGGGTAATACAATTTATCTAATACAGTATATATATGTTGTACCTAAAAGGCCAAGTTGCCTAACAAGCCGAATTTTCCTGAATTATTATATTTTTCATTTTTGTTTTCTTGTGGAATGATAAAGCTTTCCATGTATTTGATTTTTTTTTTAATTAAAACTAACAGGAAATTTTATCAAACCTATCATAACTAAATCAGTCAATTATGTTAATATAAAATAATAATATTAATTGGAACAAACCAATTTGGAAACAAATGTGAAAATAACGAAAATCACTCTACCTTTTAGGCAAATCGGGACTTGCATACTAGGCCAAGTAGTATGGGTTCTGACGATTAGGTACGACATTATAATACTAGTATATATATTATATATAATTATTATATCCCTAGAAGATGATTAAAACGCAAGACAACTGCAAACTGCTCGGTTCTTGCGTAGTCTCTCTCTCTCTCTCTCTCTCTCTCTCTCTCTCTCTCTCTCTCTCTCTCTCTCTCTCTCTCTCTCTCTCTCTCTCTCTCTCTCTCTACAACAGCGTGATTCTGGGCTGTCATACGTCATTCTAAAAGCCTCGCAAGCTCTTCACGGGCATATGCTGTAGTTGCTCAAAGCGTCCACTTTCCCATCTGGTCAGGAAGCGCCATTTCGATACCAAGGCATACTATCGTCGACCATAGCAAGCGTCTAAATATGCAAATCTAAGATCTATGTCAGAATGGCAAAGTAGCCGGAGTGAGTTAGCAAATACACCCACACACACACGCCCGCGCACACACGTGCTGGGTGAGGTAGGCCCCCACACACGTGCTGGGCTAGGTAGGGGCTCCACACACACGTGCTGGGTGAGGTAGGCCCCCACACACGTGCTGGACTAGGTAGAGGCTCCACACACGTGCTGGACTAGGTAGGAGCTCCACACACGTGCTGGACTAGGTAGGGGCTCCACACACGTGCTGGACTAGGTAGGGGCTCCACACACGTGCTGGACTAGGTAGAGGCTCCACACACGTGCTGGGCTAGGTAGGGGCTCCACACACGGGCTGGGCTAGGTAGGGGCTCCACACACACGCTACTGCCTCCAACACTCACCGCCTTCTGCCTCTCTTCTCTGTAGGAGTCACTGGCAGCTTGTTCTCGTCGCTAAATATGTCTTCCTCCACTTCATCTCCATCTTTGTCGTTCACGTCTCCGTCTAAATAGTCGTCTTCGTCAAAGTGCCTAGGCTCTGACGAAGTGGTGGAAGGAGAGACTGAGGAGACTTCCAGCTCGTTTTCTGTTCCATTGCTTCTGCTTTTATCACAGAAAGTGGGAAGAGTGAAAGTATAATACAAAGAAAAGAAATTGAAAGTGCACAAAAGCTAAGCAGGCTACCCAATGCTGCTGAAGTCGTTTGAACATTCATACAACTGAACACAAGCGAAGGAAAGTGATAGAAAACACCCCATCCACTAGTTAAACACATACAAATTAATACCCGTGAAAGTGCAAAGCAAAAAGAAACATGTTTTTCTTTATTTACACTAAGTAAAACACTCAACAATGAGGAGGCTCTTCACCCACGCAACTGCTCACTGGAGGAGGCAGACCAGACCAGACACCACCACAAACACTCGCAGTTTGCAAGCATAAACTCCAGTGACTTGAAAATGTGGACATTCAGCTCCGGCATTGCTGATTCCTGTCTGGCCGTTCTTGCTGGCAAATAATGAGTTCCTTGTTGTGCTCTATTTACCCACGTGTAACTTGCTGTGGAAGTTACCCACGTGTAACTTGCCGTGGAAGTTACCCACGTGTAACTTGCCGTGGAAGTTACCCACGTGTAACTTGCTGTGGAAGTTACCCACGTGTAACTTGCTGTGGAAGTTACTCACGTGTAACTTGCTGTGGAAGTTACCCACGTGTAACTTGCTGTGGAAGTTACTCACGTGTAACTTGCTGTGGAAGTTACCCACGTGTAACTTGCTGTGGAAGTTACTCACGTGTAACTTGCTGTGGAAGTTACCCACGTGTAACTTGCTGTGGAAGTTACTCACGTGTAACTTGCTGTGGAAGTTACCCACGTGTAACTTGTCATGGAAGTTACTCACGTGTAACTTGCTGTGGAAGTTACCCACGTGTAACTTGCTGTGGAAGTTACCCACGTGTAACTTGCTGTGGAAGTTACCCACGTGTAACTTGCTGTGGAAGTTACCCACGTGTAACTTGCTGTGGAAGTTACCCACGTGTAACTTGCTGTGGAAGTTACCCACGTGTAACTTGCTGTGGAAGTTACCCACGTGTAACTTGCTGTGGAAGTTACCCACGTGTAACTTGCTGTGGAAGTTACCCACGTGTAACTTGCTGTGGAAGTTACCCACGTGTAACTTGCTGTGGAAGTTACCCACGTGTAACTTGCTGTGGAAGTTACCTACGTGTAACTTGCTGTGGAAGTTACCCACGTGTAACTTGCTGTGGAAGTTACCCACGTGTAACTTGTCATGGAAGTTACCCACGTGTAACTTGCCGTGGAAGTTACCCACGTGTAACTTGCTGTGGAAGTTACCCACGTGTAACTTGCTGTGGAAGTTACCCACGTGTAACTTGCTGTGGAAGTTACCCACGTGTAACTTGCTGTGGAAGTTACCCACGTGTAACTTGTCATGGAAGTTACCCACGTGTAACTTGCCGTGGAAGTTACCCACGTGTAACTTGCCGTGGAAGTTACCCACGTGTAACTTGTCATGGAAGTTACTCACGTGTAACTTGCTGTGGAAGTTACCCACGTGTAACTTGCTGTGGAAGTTACCCACGTGTAACTTGCCGTGGAAGTTACCCACGTGTAACTTGCTGTGGAAGTTACCCACGTGTAACTTGCTGTGGAAGTTACCCACGTGTAACTTGCTGTGGAAGTTACCCACGTGTAACTTGCTGTGGAAGTTACCCACGTGTAACGTGCTGAGAGGCGGAGTTACGACTCTATACTGACGCATATTTTGGGTCTCCGAACTCGTCACAGGTCACTTGTACAAATTAATGTAATACTGCAGTGCTACGGGGGGAGCTGGGGTAGTACTGGGGTGCTAGGGGAGCTGGGGGTAGTACTGGGGTGCTAGGAGAGCTGGGGTAGTACTGGGGTGCTAGGAGAGCTGGGGTAGTACTGGGGTGCTAGGAGAGCTGGGGTAGTACCGGGGTGCTAGGAGAGCTGGGGTAGTACCGGGGTGCTAGGAGAGCTGGGGTAGTACTGGGGTGCTACGGGGGGGGGTGCTAGCTGGGGTAGTACTGGGGTGCTAGGAGAGCTGGGGTAGTACCGGGGTGCTACGGGGGGAGCTGGGGTAGTACTGGGGTGCTAGGAGAGCTGGGGTAGTACTGGGGGGTGCTAGGAGAGCTGGGGTAGTACTGGGGTGCTAGGAGAGCTGGGGTAGTACTGGGGGTGCTAGGAGAGCTGGGGTAGTACTGGGGTGCTAGGAGAGCTGGGGTAGTACTGGGGGTGCTAGGAGAGCTGGGGTAGTACTGGGGTGCTAGGAGAACTGGGGAAGTACTGGGGTGCTAGGAGAACTGGGGTAGTACTGGGGTGCTAGGAGAGCTGGGGTAGTACTGGGGTGCTAGGAGAGCTGGGGAAGTACTGGGGTGCTAGGAGAACTGGGGTAGTACTGGGGTGCTAGGAGAGCTGGGGAAGTACTGGGGTGCTAGGAGAGCTGGGGAAGTACTGGGGTGCTAGGAGAGCTGGGGTAGTACTGGGGTGCTAGGAGAACTGGGGTAGTACTGGGGTGCTAGGAGAGCTGGGGTAGTACTGGGGTGCTAGGAGAGCTGGGGTAGTACCGGGGTGCTAGGAGAACTGGGATAGTACCGGGGTGCAAGGAGAACTGGGGTGCTGGGAGAACTGGGATAGTACCGGGGTGCAAGGAGAACTGGGGTGCTGGGAGAACTGGGATAGTACCGGGGTGCTAGGAGAACTGGGATAGTACCGGGGTGCTAGGAGAACTGGGATAGTACCCGGGTGCTAGAACTGGGATAGTACCCGGGTGCTAGAACTGGGATAGTACCAGGGTGCTAGGAGAACTGGGATAGTACCGGGGTGCTAGGAGAACAGGGATAGTACCGGGGTGCTAGGAGAACAGGGATAGTACCGGGGTGCTAGGAGAACTGGGGTTACCTTGAGGTGCTTCCGGGGCTTAGCGTCCCCGCGGCCCGGTCGTCGACCAGGCCTCCTGGGGGTGCTGGGAGAACTGGGATAGTACCGGGGTGCTAGGAGAACTGGGATAGTACCGGGGTGCTAGGAGAACTGGGATAGTACCCGGGTGCTAGGAGAACTGGGATAGTACCAGGGTGCTAGGAGAACTGGGATAGTACCAGGGTGCTAGGAGAACTGGGATAGTACCGGGGTGCTAGGAGAACTGGGATAGTACCGGGGTGCTAGGAGAACTGGGATAGTACCGGGGTGCTAGGAGAACTGGGATAGTACCGGGGTGCTAGGAGAACTAGGATAGTACCGGGGTGCTAGGAGAACTGGGATAGTACCGGGGTGCTAGGAGAACTGGGATAGTACCGGGGTGCTAGGAGAACTAGGATAGTACCGGGGTGTTAGGAGAGCAGGGATAGTACCGGGGTGCTAGGAGAGCAGGGATAGTACCGGGGTGCTAGGAGAGCAGGGATAGTACCGGGGTACTTGGGAACTCGCCCATACAGACGAGTACGCTCTAGGGATAACGCAGCATTCGTAGCTAGGTGTTGTGTGTGTGGGGGGGGGGGGCAGTGTCCCACCTTTTTCTTATCCTGTTTGAGTGTTTTCAACAGAGGAAAACCTTGAGACTGACAGGCGACTGTTTAGCGAAGGGGGTCAGTCAGACTGTAGCCTAATGCACCTCTCCCGTCTGCACAAAGCTACGGGCCAGGCTAGAAAATCAATTTTTCAAACTTACCCGGAATACTTTTTCTTAATTCGTCGTTTCTTTTTGGAAGATCTACTTTGGATATTATAAGTAGCAAAAGATTATCGTTGGGGGTTTTCCCTCTTGTAATATATTAATTTATAGTAATTGACTAATTTGATATTTAAACCATTACTCACTATCACGTGGGGGGGGGGGTTTACCAATGTAAACATTCGTATTGAAATATTCTGACAGGTGTTTATTATATATATCTACTTATGTGTACACTTTCAAGCCATGTGGTGGGCAAGAAAACAAAAGCCCGCACTGCTAAAAAAGAAATCAGATATAAGCTGTGAAGCCATGAGTCACGGGTGTCGTAGCGGGCCCACACCCAAATCAATAGTTGGGTGTACGTTTTCTCTCACGAGCACAACCTCGCCAACAAAGAAAATGTAAACTTATGCAGGGACTATTGCAAGCCTCTCCTGGTTGATTACCTGGTCGATGGGGGTTCTGGGAGTTCTTCTACTCCCCAAGCCCGGGCCGAGGCCAGGCTTGACGAGTTTTTTTTACTCCCCAGGCCCGGCCCGAGGCCAGGCTTGACTTGTGAGTTTGGTCCACTAGGCTGTTGCTTGGAGCGGCCCGAGCAAAGGCGCCGGTCTCGGTCTCACCAAAGCCCTTTCTGTGGTTCATTTTTTTGTTTTTAACTCGTGTTAGCTGTATGGCTACTATTTCTAGTGGCCATAGCGTGGATTGAAAGGTGCTTGTTTGTTGATATCCCCCCCCCCATGTGTTTTGTAAACTGCATTTTGAATTGTAGGCCTAATTGCGTCGCATTTCTTATAGCGCTAGTCAGGGATTAATCTTAATCAGGACGCTTGAGTTCTTCAAAAGTGTGAATGAGAAATCCTTGTCTTGTTAAAGATGTCATTCTTATCCTCCTCAGCCTTTCCGTGTATGAGAGTTGGCCGAAGGCTTCAGAACTGACAAGTCGCAAGCCGTCATAGTTTATAGAATTAAGACACTGACCAAGATGATATAAATCCACACACATTCACTGAGCTGAAGAGTACCACTCAACCTACTCGAAATAAATATATATATATAATATATATATATATATATATATATATATATATATATATATATATATATATATATATATATATATATAGCGCCCATGCATAAGTTCGCCCATGCCTGGCTATGCATAAGTTTACATTATCAATGCACTGTGGGTATTCCTTATTAATAATCCAAGTCCGATAGAATTTGTCAAAATTTACCCTTTACTGTACATAAAATAACAAAATTACTAAAAGAAGACTAGAAAAATAAATTACCAGCATCACTAAGCATGAAGCCAAATGATCATACGTTATAACATCAATGTTATTGAATATCAGCTGATAGGCCGCTCCGCCAGGTACTTTTGAAGGTCAATACTTTAATCAACAAGTTGTAAATAACATTTTTCAACGTTTCGTTATTTGCTGCGATATTTTCCAGTAAAGCTTGTTAATGGTTTTACAAGTTTTGATTCCTAGTTTCCCTAAACTCGAGCACTTGAACTTAACAGAGAAATGAAGAGGCGGGAGTCTAAAGAAGTGAAGTGGCAAACTATTCACGGGTGAAAGGCGGGATCCAAGAGCCAGAGCTCATCCCCCCGCAAATATAACACGGCGAGAAGTACCCTCCCCATCCCCCCTCCTGAACGTACACCCCCCAAGACCTTCAAGTTGGTGATGATTAAATGACAAAGATTAAGCCACCCAAGAGGTGGCACGGGCATGAATAGCCCGTAATTCAAGTTGGTTATGCGTAAGAGCTTCGCTTACCTGTCGTCCTGGATGAAGTGCTGCACTTTGTTCATGCTTTCATGCACCTGCCGCATGCCCTCCTTGAAGCGCTGGTTGAGGCGGTGGGCGTAGAGGGAGGCGCCGCCCTCGCTCAGGTACCCGTCCAGGTCCGACGAGTTGCCACACTTGTAGCCCACATTACGCAGCACGTCTCCGTCCGACATGTAGCCTGCGACGCCGACGCGTGACCCGGGGAGAGGAGAGAGAGAACGCACGTTAACAACAAAAATACATAACCTAGAACCCAAGTGAATGGAATAGTTAGTTTTAGTTTAGTTCATTTATTATGCACCCCATACCCATCTTGTGGGCGGTAGTGGAAAGGGTTACAGAGGCACATAATGGGCTCAGGGACTAAACCCTACAATTCATTTAGCTAAGCAAGTTACAATGGAATGGTCATGTATTATAATACATAACCATATCAAATACATTAACCGGGTACATTTTGAACCTAATCTATTAAAACCAGATGATTCAATAATTTTCCTTATCCTTTAATCAATAATTTGCCAGTGAAAAAAAAATACATATGCATACAAAACAAAAAATATGGAATTTCACTCTTTAACACCTGCATGTATCCCTGAATTCCTCCCGTAATGCATGTATACCTGAATTCCTCCCGTAATGCATGTATACACTAAAGGTTGGCTTCTCTGGGATGCCTCGCCCTCAGCTCTGAGCCGTCACACAGGTGCAGCAACCGTCTAGGTACAAAGGTGCCGCTCTAACTTAACTTTCCTTTGATGTAGTGCACATAACTATGTACTGAGGTGCTGTAGTTATTAATCATGAAGTTTATGCAAGTGGTGAGGATGGGCTGGGAAGGGAAAGGTACGGACAGAGGATGAGTTAGGGAGGTGAATACAGAGAGGATGAGTTAGGGAGGTGAATACAGAGAGGATGAGTTAGGGAGGTGAATACAGAGAGGATGAGTTAGGGAGGTGAATACAGAGAGGATGAGTTAGGGAGGTGAATACAGAGAGGATGAGTTAGGGAGGTGAATACAGAGAGGATGAGTTAGGGAGGTGAATACAGAGAGGATGAGTTAGGGAGGTGAATACAGAGAGGATGAGTTAGGGAGGTGAATACAGAGAGGATGAGTTAGGGAGGTGAATACAGAGAGGATGAGTTAGGGAGGTGAATACAGAGAGGATGAGTTAGGGAGGTGAATACAGAGAGATTGGGTTGGGAAAGGAAAGATAATAAGAAATAAAAATAGATATAGTGGAAATAAAGAGGAATAATAATAGTTAAGAATTTTAAAAGAAGCAAGTGACACGAACAAAATAATGGGAATAAAAGAAAACGGATTAAGTCCACCAGGGAAAACGGCGCCAGCCCCGACAAATGGAACCATGCAAAAGACTTACCGTTCGCCAGTTCAACACTCTCCAGGTCGCTATAATCCGCGTCAATGACTTGGTTAGATCCTGGCGGCCGTTTGAGATGAGGCCCGAGACGCATACCCTTCTGTGGCACCGTGTTGGCATTGTCTTGTAGCGCTGTGGAACCAATCGAGATGGGTTGAATCATACGATTCACAAAGTTAATTATGCGGTATTTTTTTATCCTACAGTTAAATGAAAGATAGATATCTAAATAAAAATGTAAAGTTACTAGGTCATCCTAAAGTGAATTTATGCTCAATATAACCATTCACTAACCTTTACTACAGTACCGTAGTTAGACTACTAACCATTTAACTTGAAAACAGTTTAGGAAATTTAACTTTTTCAATAAGTCTGGTACAAATATAACTCGTTTAAGTCAAATAATATTGGGGGTTCAGTTCGTGAGCGCCACTGAGACTAACATTTCTACCTCTTCCCACACGGTGGGTACGGTGGTCTACAATAAAATAATTAAACTCTGAACAAATTATGATGTCCAAATCACACATCAGAAATTGAAGAAACGACAACGTTTCGGTCCGTCCAGGACCATTATCAGGTCATGTAATGGATAGTGGGTGGAAGAGATAGACAATATAAGGAAAAAGAGAGAAATTACTGGATGAATGGAAGAGAATGAGGAGGACGAAGATGATAGGTAAGAAACGAGAAAAGGTTAGAATATGTACAAAAACGTGTATGTAATTGTTCCTCAAGCAAGACAGGAGAGAGAGGAGTGTGTGGGACTACCTAGCCTGGAGACATGTAGGGAAGGCGGGACAGTGCGGGCCTGGTGGAGGCCAAGTCCTCTCATGTAGCCATACTGCGAGGCGCGCACCAGAGGCTGCATTGGCTTGATGTTCAATATCACTTCGTCTCCCTCTTCCCCTTCATGCTTCTCTTCCACCTGTGGAAGATAATGCAAAAGTGTAAGTGTGGTTCATACACTCCCTACACTGCAGCAACTGTTTGATAAGAGACGTTTATATCTGACTTAACGACTGTAAGGAGAAAAAATGTTTACCTTTCTGATGTGAGTCTTGAAGTCACTGACACTGCCGTCCTCGGAGCTTGTAGGTTTATATATTACAGAAGAGTTGCCTGACGAGTTGCTGTGGCCGCTGTTGCTCTGTGAAGATTCACTGATATTGGAGCCAGACTCGGACGGGGTCACTAGGTCCTTCTCGCGGGGGTTGGGCATCGGGCTCACTAGGGCAACACTGATGCCCGTCCCACAATCTTCTCGTCGGCCCAGCTGCTTCTGGCGCGGTAAGGACCCCTTGGGATCCCGGCATTCTTGCGCAGCGTTGCTGTCTGTGTTTGCCGGTGCGCCCACCGCCGGCCGCGGGGCGCCACCGCCTGCGCTCGCCACTTTGGGCGCGGAAACACCGCCCGACGTGTGACGAACCATCTTATTGTAGTCCTTCGTTTGATGGGGAATGTTTACGTTGGGCGAGGCCGTGGGAGAAGCCGGAACCGGTCGTTCTGGAGGCACCGCTTTTGTTTGGCCTTTCACGTGTGCCGTGGGCTTAGGGATACCGGTGCCAGGAGTACCTGGGAGTAAGGGGCTACCTGGTGTAGATGCTAGCCCATGCTCTATTGACTGTTGCTGACTTTGATGATGCTGTTGATAATGTTGTTGCTGCTGCATGGCTGCCATATGTGGGTCTGACTGCATGAAGGCCGAGTGGTCCCTGTGGATGTTCTCTTTAGGTGGGAGTGCTGGGGGTTGTTGGGGGTCAGCAATCTGACCTGTGGTCTCAGGTCGCGGGCCCTGCGCCGCAACCCGCGACTCTCTAACCTGGTCAGGTTGGGGTGGGACGTGTTGTGCCCGTGAGCGGAACCCGCCATCCAGCTCCAAGGTGAGCTTCTCGCTTTTCTTGCCCGCGCGTTCCTCCCGGCTGCCGCCCCTCTCGCGACTATCGCCACGCTCGGCGCGGGGGTCGCGGTGGGCCTTGTGACCACCTCGCGGTGACCCTCGCGACTCCTCCCTCTCCTTCTCTTTCCGCGACGACTTCGGCGACTCCTTACCCTCCTTCCCGCTAGATTTGGAAAACTTTGACCTGGGGAAATGGGAAACCAGAACTCACAACTCCACCCAACACAAATGGAAAGTAATCCCTCAGCATCAAGCAAATCCCAAACATGCGGGAATATTATCATCCACCAGCCGACGACTCTGTCATCCAACACAACAGGGGGAGGTGAGGAAGGGGCGGGAAAAGGGTGTACCTGATACCACGAAGTCCCTGAGGTTTGGCTGCAGGCGGGGCGCTCACGGGCTGGCCCTCGATGTTGGTCTGGTCGCTGCTGCTGCTGCTGGTACTCACTGGCAGGCTGTGGTGCGTCGAGAGGCGCGTTAGTGCAAAACACACCCACACACACGCGTCAGTAATGGGTGCAACACGAAGCCATCAAGACATACATGTTGAGGGGGGGAAGAGGGTGAACTCTATTGTGTGCGTATATACATAAAGCGTGAATACATATAGATGTATATATATATACATATACACATACATACATACAATGTTGGTAATTATAATCATAAGCATAAACAATACATTAGTGCGAGTACAATACAACAAAACTGATACGAGTATATGACTCCCCTCAGACAATCATACACACACACACTCCCCGACACCAGAACTTAACAAATTCTTACTGTTAAGCAAGATACTTAAATGTGATAAAGCAAAGCGTGCCCAAGAATGTCTTCGCTACATTTCAGGACTTTTCTCCCCCAACACACACACACACACACACACACACACACACACACACACACACACACACACACACACACACACACACACACACAGCTAAGAAAGCAAGACTGCAGGTATGAGAGCCATCACAGTGAGGGACTGACCTCTGGTGTGGCGGCAGGGGCGGGGGCTTGGCATCGGAGCACACACTGGTTGACGAGTCCGACCTCTCAGACCTGGCGGAGCTGAACCCGCTGCTGCTACTGGTCCGCTTGCTCACACCGCTGCTACCTGCGGGACACGCGCCCGGGGGGGGGGGGGAGAAGGAAGAGCGGCTGTCAGTAAGTATTGGCGATAGTGCCAATAAAGCGTGAATACACGCTTTATAACCACCCACCAAAGTGGGTGGTTATAAATAGAACTCGGTAGGTTATAAACCGCTTTGAAGGGGACAGACAGGCTGGGTATATATATACTTTAGGTTTGTATGTAGGTCCTTCCACCAGCCTAGGTCAACCAACTGACCTTGCCCAGGATGCAACCCCCACAACTGTTGCCAAAGTTCCAGGGTACCTATTTACTGTTAGGTGAACGAATGCCCAGCACAATGACGCCATGGTACCGGGGAGCCGGTCGGCCGAGCGGACAGCACGCTGGACTTGTGATCCTGTGGTCCCGGGTTCGATCCCGGGCGCCGGCGAGAAACAATGGGCAGAGTTTCTTTCACCCTATGCCCCCTGTTACCTAGCAGTAAAATAGGTACCTGGGTGTTAGTCAGCTGTCACGGGCTGCTTCCTGGGGGTGGAGGCCTGGTCGAGGACCGGGCCGCGGGGACACTAAAAAGCCCCGAAATCATCTCAAAATAATCTCAAGATAAGATGGTGTTCCAAAATCCATTCTTGCATCCATGCTTCTTAAAATTGCATTGAGCATCCTTATGTAATCGGTTGGGGGGGGGGGGGAATTAGCATGAGAAAGTCCCAAGCCATTACGACTATAAGTGACATTACACTGGGAAGGGATCAGGATAAGGATTTGGGATGGGACGGAGGGAAGGAATGGTGTCCAACCACTTGGGCGGTCGGGGATTGAACGCCGACCTGCATGAAGCCAGATCGTCGCTCTACCGTCCAGCCCAAGTGGGACGGGGGGGGGGAAGGAATGTATGTTGAAATTTTGTATAAGGTTAAACTTGGATGTTTAGATCCTGTTGGCAATTTGCTTGCATTTGTTGTGTATGAATGAAATATTTACAGGCGATATTCGAGCAGAGGACATGAACGAAGCAATGTTTGCGAACAGTTCAAACAGGATCAGTTCCTAGTTGCAGCGCATCTTTATAAAGCCTGTCCTCGTCAACAAGGGCCATTATAAAGCCTGTACTCATCAATAAAGGCCATTATAAAGCCTGTACTCATCAACAAAGGCCATTATAAAGCCTGTACTCATCAACAAAGGCCATTATAAAGCCTGTCCTCATCAATAAAGGCCATTATAAAGCCTGTACTCATCAACAAAGGCCATTATAAAGCCTGTCCTCATCAATAAAGGCCTTTATAAAGCCTGTCCTCATCAATAAAGGCCAAAATTGATTACAAGCCTCACCAAAAGCTTGTTTATGAATGTATCCGCTTTACACACGACTTGCAACTGATGACGTTCGAACAATGTTTTGCTGATAATCTCTGTTCGAATCGCAGCTCTGTAAATGCTTCACTCACGTCCTCCAGATGCAAATAATTGCAACCTAACAAAAGCACAACAGTTGGGTACGATTCCTTTCACCTAATGTTTCTGTTCACCTAGCTTGTTGTGGGGTTGCATCCTGGAGGGGGGGGGGTCAGTAATTCGATCTGGGGGGGGGGGGGGGGCAGACCTCGATATAAGTCTAACGTGTATAAATACACTCTGGCTGCCTGTCCCCCAGCATAATGTTGTTGTTTTAGCTGACGCTACTGGCAACAAAAAGTTGCAAGTAGCACGGGCTATGGTGAGCCCCGTAGTGGACTTACCTGGCACAGGAGCGGGGCTTGTAAAGTCTGGGACACAATGAATTTTTATTACAGAACCTAAACACCTGAGAAGAAATCCACAAGGGGCGTGATAAGGGTTCGAACCTAAGTCCGAGAGGTTCCCAGACGCGCCTTAATGGACTGTGCCTTAATCGACCTAACCTACACCAAACAATACACAGAACTTTAATATGTAATAATAATAATAGTTATATAATCCTTTTGACCATGTCGTAGCTCAGTCGATTAAGGCAGCGTCTGGGATGCTCTCGGACGCAGGTTCGAATCCTCGTCACGGCCCTTGTGGATTTGTTAATAATAATAGTAATTTATATGAGGAAAAGAAACTATTTTTAATACACAATTCGTTAAAAATGATGGATGTGTCTTGGAGGAAGGGGGGGGGGAGCGGGCCCCCGCTTTAACGAGCCTGGCCTGAGAGCACAATTTAATTTCTTTCCTACACGTTAGGGGGACTGGATTACCGACCATATGGCCTTTGATCACAAGGACGGGCCGCTCGCGAGACACCAGGTCATCCAACCCAGACAACCTGAGGTGTTCCGCTGTAGTTTATTCGTTTATTTAATTCATTCATTTATTAATTCGTTTATTATAATTAAATAATAATTATTTAATTATTATTTTTAATTTATTTATTTAAATTATTTAATTCTTTGAGGGCATTCTAAGTTTGTTTTAATTAAGCAGTTCTAAGGGCCTCGGGGTAACCTTGTCCACATTAAACGTGTTATGGACAGAGTTCCAAGAACCGCGCCATCTCCGGGTTATCTTGAGGTTATCTTGAGATGATTTCGGAGCTTTAGTGTCCCCGCGGCCCGGTCCTCAGCCAGGCCTCCACCCCCAGGAAGCAGCCATCTTTGCTGCTTTCATTGTTTGAAAGCAGCAAACTCTGCCCATTGTTTCTCGCCGGCGCCCTGGATCAAACCCGGGACCACAGGATCACGCGTCCAGTGTTTTCTCCGCTCAGCCGCCGGCTCCCGGGGAAGAATACTTTATTAGACTGGTGATTTATTTTCCTAAATCGTTGGGATTTGTCTTGAATCCCAAAATAAAGGGGCAGGTGAGGGAGTGAGGGGAAGGTGAGGGAGTGAGGGGGAAGGTGAGGGAGTGAGGGGAAGGTGAGGTAGAACGTACAGTCTAAGCCCAACCGTCAGAAAAAAACCGGCTGACTGACCGTGGTGAGTGGTGTAGAGACTGTAGACATAGACGGGAAGGGAGGGACAGGACGGGGAGGGACGGGACTTACGGGACGGTAAGAGACGGGAGGTACAACAAATCATTAAGTGTCCCCCCCCCCATCCCCCAATGGGAACTAAACTAGAGAGGAAATGTGACGGAAGGGGCGTGGGTAGCCTAGCCCACCGGAGTGTGTGTGTGTGTGCGCGTGTGTGCGTGCGTGTGTGCGTGCGTGTGCGTGTGCGTGTGCGTGTGTGTGTGTGTGTGTGTGCGTGTGCGTGTGCGTGTGCGTGTGTGTGTGTAGCCTGAGCTCCAGCCAGCGCCACACACACCTGAGCCACGGGCACAGGTGTGTGAGAGCTGCGGGGCGACAAGGAGCACAGCGTCTGGCACGTGTGTGTGTAATAATAACACACATGTAACCACCTTCCCCAAGGATTGTCACTCGGTTCAGTTCCCGAGCCCATTTAAATTGAAATAAGTTGACTGAGATATAAACACACACAAAGGGACGAGGCCGCTCAAGCTATTCTCACCCCGTTCAGTACAACGTGTACGTATACATATACATATATATAGACAACATATACATATATATACACACACACCACAAGCAATAAGCATATTACCGAATAATCTAAGTGATAAACATATACATTTGGGATGCATATGTTCCAACACACAATGGAACGAGCCCATTGTGTGCCCTTGGGAATGGGATGCATTATAAGGAAATGAAATGAACAAAATGGTTATGTCCACGGATATGAGGAGGTCAATATAAATGGTCATCCTTTATTTCAGGGTTCAACCCCTGACGATACAGGAATAAGTCTTGTAATGACTGCTAAATGTAATTTGAAATTTACCATTGCAGCAGCAGAAGTTTTGTCAGGAATTTGACCCCTGTGGACCCCTGGACAGGGAAAATGTCCACTGTGCCCCCGCCCCCCTTCGTCCCGGAGGCCATTAGGTCAATGGGTAATTCTCCAAAAGCAATTCAGCAGCGAAATTGAACACTCAGATCCTGGCATTATCTCCAGTCCTGCGAGTAACGATACGAACTCCGTGGTCTGACACTGTCACATTTTTCATCACGCATTAATTTTCGTGATTTACATTGAAACCACCTACAGGTAAACTGAAGTACAGAGAGTAACGCGTGACGTAACCACTGCACCAGTAAGGGTCAACCTGGGAACCTGCCACACCTGCCACACCTACACCAGTAACGGTCTACGGCAGTGCTGCAAATGACTCTGTGACTATTCACACCACATGTCAACCACACAAGAGGAGTGCCACACCGTCTCGACCACACGAGAGGAGTGCCACACCGTCTCGACCACACAAGAGGAGCGCCACACCGTCTCGACCACACAAGAGGAGCGCTACACCGTCTCGACCACACAAGAGGAGTGCCACACCGTCTCGACCATACAAGAGGAGCGCCACTCCGTCTCGACCATACAAGAGGAGCGCCACTCCGTCTCGACCACACAAGAGGAGTGCCACACCGTCTCGACCACACAAGAGGAGCGCCACACCGTCTCGACCACACAAGAGGAGCGCCACACCGTCTCGACCACACAAGAGGAGCGCCACACCGTCTCGACCACACAAGAGGAGCGCCACACCGTCTCGACCACACAAGAGGAGCGCCACACCGTCTCGACCACACAAGAGGAGCGCCACACCGTCTCGACCACACAAGAGGAGTGCCACACCGTCTCGACCACACAAGAGGAGTGCCACACCGTCTCGACCACACAAGAGGAGCGCCACACCGTCTCGACCACACAAGAGGAGTGTCACACCGTCTCGACCACACAAGAGGAGTGTCACACCGTCTCGACCACACAAGAGGAGCGCCACACCGTCTCGACCACACAAGAGGAGCGCCACACCGTCTCGACCACACAAGAGGAGGGCCACACCGTCTCGACCACACAAGAGGAGTGCCACACCGTCTCGACCACACAAGAGGAGCGCCACACCGTCTCGACCACACAAGAGGAGTGTCACACCGTCTCGACCACACAAGAGGAGTGTCACACCGTCTCGACCACACAAGAGGAGCGCCACACCGTCTCGACCACACAAGAGGAGTGTCACACCGTCTCGACCACACAAGAGGAGTGTCACACCGTCTCGACCACACAAGAGGAGCGCCACACCGTCTCGACCACACAAGAGGAGTGTCACACCGTCTCGACCACACAAGAGGAGTGTCACACCGTCTCGACCACACAAGAGGAGCGCCACACCGTCTCAACCACACAAGAGGAGTGTCACACCATCTCAACCACACACGAGGAGCGCCACACCGTCTCGACCACACAAGAGGAGTGTCACACCATCTCAACCACACACGAGGAGTGCCACACCGTCTCGACCACACAAGAGGAGTGTCACACCGTCTCGACCACACAAGAGGAGCGCCACACCGTCTCGACCACACAAGAGGAGCGCCACACCGTCTCGACCACACAAGAGGAGCGCCACACCGTCTCGACCACACAAGAGGAGCGCCACACCGTCTCGACCACACAAGAGGAGCGCCACACCGTCTCGACCACACAAGAGGAGCGCCACACCGTCTCGACCACACAAGAGGAGCGCCACACCGTCTCGACCACACAAGAGGAGTGTCACACCATCTCAACCACACACGAGGAGCGCCACACCGTCTCAACCACACAAGCGGAGCTCCATTAACCAGCCAATTGCTCACTACCACGAACCACAACACCGCCGGCCCAGTCAAGACACAACACACTCTGAAAATCGGTCAACACATCTCTCGCCACCATAAATCATAGCTCCAAAACAACCACAGACCACCACCACCACCACCACACTGCCCACCACCAAACACCCACCACAAGCCACCCCTACCACAAGCCACCTGCACCTACCACCACTGGGAGGGAGGCACCTACCACCACTGGGAGGGAGGCACCTACCACCACTGGGAGGGAGGCACCTACCACCACTGAGAGGGAGGCACCTACCACCACTGGGAGGGAGGCACCTACCACCACTGGGAGGGAGGCACCTACCACCACTGGGAGGGAGGCACCTACCACCACTGGGAGGGAGGCACCTACCACCACTGGGAGGGAGGCACCTACCACCACTGGGAGGGAGGCACCTACCACCACTGGGAGGGAGGCACCTACCACCACTGGGAGGGAGGCACCTACCACCACTGGGAGGGAGGCACCTACCACCACTGGGAGGGAGGCACCTACCACCACTGGGAGGGAGGCACCTACCACCACTGGGAGGGAGGCACCTACCACCACTGGGAGGGAGGCACCTACCACCACTGGGAGGGAGGCACCTACCACCACTGGGAGGGAGGCACCTACCACCACTGGGAGGGAGGCACCTACCACCACTGGGAGGGAGGCACCTACCACCACTGGGAGGGAGGCACCTACCACCACTGGGAGGGAGGCACCTACCACCACTGGGAGGGAGGCACCTACCACCACTGGGAGGGAGGCACCTACCACCACTGGGAGGGAGGCACCTACCACCACTGGGAGGGAGGCACCTACCACCACTGGGAGGGAGGCACCTACCACCACTGGGAGGGAGGCACCTACCACCACTGGGAGGGAGGCACCTACCACCACTGGGAGGGAGGCACCTACCACCACTGGGAGGGAGGCACCTACCACCACTGGGAGGGAGGCACCTACCACCACTGGGAGGGAGGCAGGAGTCACACTATTTACCTGAACTAGCGAGCTTGTGGTCACCCAACATAACATTTCTCTCGACATGTGTTGCAAGATCTTTACCGTTTTCATGTTCAACTCCTTTATCTTCATTGCAAGAAGTGCTGGACTAACCGGGCTGTAGGGCAGCTGCAAGCAAGCAACAGCCTGTTGGACCAAGTTACCGCAAGTGGACCCTGGCCCTCAGGCCGGGCTCTGGGGGTAGAAGAACTCCCAAAAACCCTCTCCAGGTTTTAGTGCTACTAAAAACAGACCATTATTAGGTCGTCCTGGACCAATATTAGGTCGTCCTGGACCAATATCAGCTCGTCCAGGACAATATCAGGTCGTCCAGGACAATATCAGGACGTCCAGGACCAATATTAGGTCGTCCAGGACCAATATCAGGTCGTCCAGGACCAATATCAGGTCGTCCAGGACCAATATCAGGACGTCCAGGACCAATATCAGGACGTCCAGGACCAATATTAGGTCGTCCAGGACCAATATTAGGTCGTCCAGGACCAATATTAGGTCGTCCAGGACCAATATCAGGTCGTCCAGGACCAATATCAGGTCGTCTAGGACCAATATCAGGTCGTCCAGGACCAATATCAGGTCGTCCAGGACCAATATCAGGACGTCCAGGACCAATATCAGGTCGTCCTGGACCAATATCAGGTCGTACTGGACCAATATCGTACCTGGGATGGGCGTAAAGTTTTCAGGAACGTTATTGTGACTAAAATGAAATATAGAGTAGCAAGGAAATACAGGTTTTAAACGAGACTTCCAATACGATAAAATTTCCAACCACATACAAAAAAAAAAAAATGCATTTCACCTGAACACACACATACAGCAACCCGTCTTCCTAATAGAACGTCGCATTTTGACGTATTGCTAAGGGCCAAAACTGTTGTACTAGAAAATGGAAGCGGCTGGCGAAAGTGACACACTGTCCCGTTTTCTGTTTTGGGTCCTCTGGTAGGTTAGGATAAGGCCAGGCATTTTGGTACGACAGTTTCCTGATGTTGGGGAACCTTAGGAGAACGGGCTGAATGCTGAATATCAGGGGGCCAGATTCACGAAAGCAGTTACGCAAGCACTTACGAACGTGTACATCTTTCCTCAATCTTTGACGGCTTTGGTTACATTTATTAAACAGTTTACAAGCATGAAAACTTCCCATTCAACTGTTGTTATTGTTATAAACAGCCTCCTGGTGCTTCGGAGCTCATTAACTGTTTAATAATTGGAAACAAAGCCGCCAAAGATTGAGAAAAGATGTACAGGTTCGTAAGTGTTTGCGTAAGTGCTTTCGTGAATCTGACCCCAGTACATGTATTAAACAAAATTGATGATGATTCTCACTCTTACTCGTAGTTTTGTTCCTGGCGTCTTTCTCTTTGTGATTGAAGAGCTTAAACTTGTCGAGCATGGAGTCCTTGTGTTTGGGGGCCGGGTTCGGGGCATGGTAGGGCGAGGTGTGACCGACGTGGTTGTTGGTGGTGGCAGCGGTGGTTGTGGTGTGGGCTGGCTGGCCTGCTGGCCCTCTTAGTGACGACCTCGCCAAGTTGGACGTCCCACTCGTTCTGTGAACAAACAAAAAGCAGATTTTGAACAAAAATCCTGAAAAGATTGCATGGCGTTCTACAAATCCTGTTGGGCGTTCCGCGCGTTCTGGGAACAAAAACAAAGCAATTCATGAACAAAATCTCCCCTCGCGACGTTCTACAAGTCTTTTTAGACGTTTTAGTTCTGTGAACAAAAAAATTCATGAACAAAATCTCCCCTCGCGACGTTCTACAAGTCTTTTTAGACGTTTTAGTTCTGTGAACAAAAAAATTCATGAACAAAATCTCCCCTCGCGACGTTCTACAAGTCTTTTTAGACGTTTTAGTTCTGTGAACAAAAAAATTCATGAACAAAATCTCCCCTCGCGACGTTCTACAAGTCTTTTTAGACGTTTTAGTTCTGTGAACAAAAAAATTCATGAACAAAATCTCCCCTCGCGACGTTCTACAAGTCTTTTTAGACGTTTTAGTTCTGTGAACAAAAAAATTCATGAACAAAATCTCCCCTCGCGACGTTCTACAAGTCTTTTTAGACGTTTTAGTTCTGTGAACAAAAAAATTCATGAACAAAATCTCCCCTCGCGACGTTCTACAAGTCTTTTTAGACGTTTTAGTTCTGTGAACAAAAAAATTCATGAACAAAATCTCCCCTCGCGACGTTCTACAAGTCTTTTTAGACGTTTTAGTTCTGTGAACAAAAAAATTCATGAACAAAAACCCTAGAGTTGCATAATGTTCTACAAGATAATTTGAACAACTTAAACTACCAGTGAATGTAGCTGAAACGAGGAAGAGAATTTATAATTACCCGATTGGCTTTCGTTTCCACTGTTCAACCACCATGACGCTAATGTCGTACACACCACACCAATGAACACTAATGAACACGACGTTACTCTTCCTGAACAAAGTTAGTTGCACTTACGATATTTCAAATATTTATTTTCACTCATTTTTTTTCATTTTAATAACAATGTTTCAATTTTATAAAATTTCTCCATTAGGATAAGTGTTCCAATATGATAATTTTTCCATTAGGATAAGTGTTCCAATATGATAATTTTTCCATTAGGATAAGTGTTCCAATATGATAATTTTTCCATTAGGATAAGTGTTCCAATATGATAATTTCTCCATTAGGATAAGTGTTCCAATATGATAATTTTTCCATTAGGATAAGTGTTCCAATATGATAATTTCTCCATTAGGATAAGTGTTCCAATATAATTTTCCCTTGCTTTTGTGATAATCGTTTTTAGATTTTCTCCTTGGTGTTGTCCTAACCTAACCTTCTTGATGTTGTCCTAACCTAACCTTCTTGATGTTGTCCTAACCTAACCTTCTTGATGTTGTCCTAACCTAACCTTCTTGATGTTGTCCTAACCTAACCTTCTTGATGTTGTCCTGAAAAGGGAATTTGTTAAGCAATGGCACTCGCTCTGTGAGTCAATATATCCATAGGGGGGAAAAAAAATATTTCGTCCATTTACAAAATAATACCGGTGGTTGGTACAGGAGTTTCGTGCAGTCTGGACACGAGTAAGCATTACATGTGGCTGAGTCCGGATACGGAAGTTTGTGTTGCGTATCGGACGCGGCGAGAAGCGGTATGTGGTGGTTTATACGGTGCTTCGAGGCATCAAGTGTCCGGATAACATGTGGAGGAGGGAACGGAACGCACTTTTAGGACACACCGAACAGCTGGTCGCTGCCTGACTACAAAAGCAGAACAAACGAACGGACGCACGCACGCACGCACGCACGTACGCACGCACGCACACACACACACACACACACACACACCACACACACACACACACACACACACACACACACGTACGTTATCAAGAACACGGGCGCGTACACCTCCCACGCGTGAGGCTATACAGAGAAATATAAAATATATCAGGAGATAGTATGTGGACATGCATGCACGCCTCCTCCTTGTATTACAACACTTGTAAACTAAGAAAACTGTTACAAAACCAGAGACGCGGCAAACAAGCAAAGTGATGGGGAATAGAAAGGGGGAGAGAGAGGGAGGGAGGGAGAGAGAGGGGGGCGAAGGGGGGAGAGAGAGAGAGAGGAAGGGGGAAAGAGAGGGGAAGGGGAGAGAGGAAAACTGTGTGTACACCCTCCCCTGTTCATTGTCTCTTGGTCATTAACATTACCTCTAGCGTGACATAATCCCCCCCCCCCACCCTTTCCCCTAACCTGTCCTCACTCAGTGATGAAGCACAACACCCCCCCCCCTCCCCTACCCTGCCTTATACAATGGGGTTTTGAGGGGGGAGAGAGGGGAGGGAAAGAGTTGTGAACAATGACACCCCCCTCCCTTCCTCTACGGCAAAGGGGAAGCTTAAAAGCAGAAGCCCAACATCCCTCTTTCGTGACATCCCCCCCCCCAACCCCTCCCTAATCCTCAACATCACGCCCAGTGCAATGTATTAGGGGAGTCTTCCTTACCCAGACAAAATGTAAGTTTTCCTCCCTGATCGAGTGCCACTCTGTAAATATAAGCCTCTGGCAAGCAGATTACAATCAAGGAGCAAGTAGGTCATAAGGTGGACCGCCAGCTGTCACACCCGGCTTGTCACTAGGCGGGTAGTAGTAGGCATCCATCAGTCTCAGGAGACTATGGAGTTGCGCTCTGGTTGTCGGTCTGGAGTGGCCTCACCAGGGCGCAAAGCCAGGGTAGGTTGATTCGGGGGAGAAGCTGTTACCCAGGCAGCAGGTCCCCCCTCTCCACGGCGCTGAAAGTCTCCAATGGAAAGGCACACGCCAGTACAATTGGTTCCAGCGCCGTCGCAGGAACTGTGAGTTCCGGGGGATTCAGCAGGTGGTTATGTTACAGTTGGTACTGTGATCCCACCGCTGCCACCATTGCAACAATGGTGTTTACAAGTACCAACGTCGTCATTACAATATCCTCCCACCGAACATAAGACAAATCGCTGGAACAAAACTAGTCGTGATGACGAAACCATATTCCAGAATATGGAAGAGACGACGACGTTTTCATCCGTCCTGGACCGTTATCAAGTCGATTGCGATAATGATCCAGAACGGATCGAAACGTCGTTGTCTCCTCATCTTCTGGTGTGTGGTCTGGTCATCATATCATCAGCCAAGTTATTGCGACTCATCGTCTGCAAAAGTGGACGTGTTTAAGGAAAAATAAAACACGTTCCTGCAATAACGTGCCGGGCCAACCGAGTTATGGTGGATATGTGAGGAGGTCCAGGAGGCCTGGTCGACGACCGGGCCGCGGGGACGCTAAGCCCCGGAAGCACCTCAAGGTAGCTCAAAGTAACTGTTTGACCAAGCTATCACAAGTCAAGTCTGGTCCCAGCCCAAGCTTGGGGAGTTGTAAGAACTCGCAGAACTCGTTTCAAGTATACTTTAGGTTCAAAGTTTTTTTTTACTATATGCACTGAATCTATCCACTTAAGAAATTATGCCGATAAAAACTGCTAATTTGCCTAATTAATTTTATTTTGTTATTATACGCAATTAGTTTATATATGCTTCTAAAATTAGTTAATTGATTTCCCCCCCTAAGATTGGGCAATTGATCTATCTCATTAGAAGATTGTTCTTCCTCCTTAATTGATAATTATCCCCCCCCCTTCATTAACAGACGATTGATCCTTCTCATAAGTATAGCTAATTGGTGCAGCTCTTAAGACTTGCCAAATGATACCCCCTTTTGAATAGTATCTGTTAGCCACCTCTAAAAGTGACTAGCTGATACCCTCTTCTAACAAATTAATTGATACCCTCCCTGCTCCATTTTCTAAGATAATATAACTGATTCAGTCAAAGAAAACCAGCGACTCTTTTTAAGATTCGTTTAAAATCTTCTGGTACAAACTTGATCATTCGATACACAATTTACTAGTCAACTTAGGTAAACTTTAGCTTGGGTCCACAAGCTTTGATATCAATTTCCTTGCGGATAAGAACTTCAGCCGAGGTCCGCAAGCTTCAAGGGACCATTCTACTCGCAACTTCTGCTACATCTACCCCATTCGCTAACAATCTACCCCCTCCCCCCCCCACCATCCAACATGTTTTCAATTAGTTGCCCATCGAAGAACATCAAACTCGCGCACCAGGGAGTAATTATACCCCCAACAAGCCAGACAAGGGCACTATTTTCCCCTCTCAAACGACATGAGGGGTTCTTTATGAGGTGGCACGTCCCCCTCACAGCGACCTCTCGACCCCTGCCCCTCACCCCTCGCTCTCCAGCGTAGGGGGTCGAGATCTGAGTCACAATCCGAGGGGGAATGACTTGCAACGCGGTGCAACCGTAGTCAATGCAGTTTTGGGGTGTGTGTAATTTTTCAATTGCGTTCATTTATTATACATCCCATGCCCAGCCCGTGGTGGAAAAAGGTTAAGAGGCGCATGCACACACGCACGCGCACACTAGTTTCAAAGCGTTATATGACAAAGAGTGCTGGGAAGACGGGACACCACGAGCGTAGCTCTCATCCTGTAACTACACCTAGGTAATTACACACACACACACACACACACACACACACACACACACACACACACACACACACACACACACACACACACACACACACACACGCGCGCGCGCGCGCACGACATATTTCACGGTATGTGGACGAACGAGAGTCCACAGAACATAATCTATCCAGAATACAGATGTTATTGACAAATACAGCGAATATTTCGCTGTATTTATTGAGCCCGCCGTCTGCTGGGCTCAACGCCTATGACTTGATTTATGAGTCTCCAAGTGAGTGGTGTCAAGAGTCTCAAGGCATCACAAGCCAAGCATAAGTAGATCTGGATTGTAAGTAGATGGGGTTCTGTGAGCTCCCTTCTGTAAGTCCAAAAGTTCTCAAATGAGAACTCCGACGCTTCTGAGAAACTGGCCACAGTATGTAAGTCAAGAGCCACTCTATATTAAGGCGATTTTCACCAGCTTTTCTCTTCCTCTCAAAAGCACATTCTCCTCCCCCTTACCCCCCTTAGGT